TATTCATTCCCAGATCCCAGTAGCATTTAATTTTACCTCTTTCCACCATCCAGTCTTACTGCCACTCTGTTGGTTTAAGGCACTTGGGTCAACCTTACATGATGCTGAGGAAATAGCCAGACACAGTTAAAGCTCTCTCTGTGCTTTTTCCTAGTTTTTTTTTTTTTTTTTTTTTTTTTGGTCTTTTGGTCTTTCAACTCCTTGTAAAATTATTATCCTGTTTAAACACTCTTTGAAATACGTAGTGTGGTAGTTATTGTTTTCCTAACTGGATTCTCATCAATACAGTCTGGATATTAATTGAAAGAATCTGCTAATTTATATGTTCCACTCTATTCCATTCCACATCACACATCACTGTCTAATTAATCATGCTAAAGCAAAACTGTATTTATATCATCCACAAACTCAAAGTTTCCTAAGACTCCTGATAACCCACAGAATTAAAAAAACAATGCGGCATCTCAGGTCCTCCATAATTAGAACCAAGTCACCTTCCAGATATATCGCCAACTACACACCTATGTACGTATTAATAGAACTCCTGCCTGTTCCATTAAGAGTCTACATCTCTCCTTTGTGCTTTTGCTCATCGTGTCTTCTCTATTTGGTATCTAACCATTCAAACTTCTGCCCATTTGCATGTCATTTCCTCTATGAAACCTTATTCTTAATTTCTACTGCTTGACCCTCCTTTTATGATAGTTATTTAAAAAAAAAAACAAAACTGTATGTGCATAAATTCTTTAACACTCCTCCCTTTCAGAGGTGAAGGTTCCTTTTCTTACCTTTGAGTATTGGCAAGACTTTGTGACTACCTTCAAAGAAAGTGATGGCACATAATTCCTAAACCCAGATCATAAAATGTACTGTGGCTTCCTCCTTGCTTTCTCTCTCAGTTCTTCACCTTAAGGGAAGCCAGCTGTCATACCATAAGGATATGGAGAGGCTCACATAGTAAGGAGCTGAGGCCTCATGCCAACAGCCACATGAGTGATACCTCTTAGAAGCAGATATTTCAGCCCTGGTCAAGACTTTGGCTGACATCTGGATTGCAATTTTAAGAGATACCCTAAGGCAGAATGACTCAGCTAAGCCAATTCCTGACTTACGAACATGTGAGATAAATGTTTCTTGTTTTAAACTGCTATCATTTTGATGTAATTGTGACACAGTAATAGATAACTAATACACCATTGTACTTTACTCTTCAGTGAATTACAGCTATCTGTGAATTTCTGCTACAGTCTTTCCTCCTATCTCCCACAACTAGATAGTAAGCTCCTAGGAGGACATAGACTATGACTCACAGAACTGCATGTCCCATGAAGTAACTAGCAATGTGTCTTGTAAAAAGCAGGTGGTCAAAACATTTTCACCCCAAGAAAACAGGTTAATGTCACTTTTAAGAATGTGCGGTCTGGGATCAGACATGCCCATGTTTAGAATCCAGTCTACCATTTCCTGTGTGAATTTGGGGAAATTATTTAACCTCTTTAAGACTCCGTTTTTTCATTCATAAAATAAGGATAAAAGATCCACTTCAAGGTTTGTTTTGAGTGTAGGGGAGGGAAAGACAACCCTCTGCTCCTCATTTAAGGAGTCCCTGAGTGACACAAACAGTTAAGTACTTGGCTACTAACCAAAAGGTTGATGGATTAAATCCACCCAGAAACACCTTAAATAAAGGCCTGGCGATCTAATGCCAAAAGATCACAGCCATTGAAAACCCCAGAGTGCCATTCTACTCTAAAACACATAAGGTCCCCATGAGTCAGAATTGATTTGACAGAAACAGGTTTAGAGTTTTCTTTTCTTTTGACCCCTCATGTTTTCATAGATGTGAGAGGCTTCCACTGCACTCCCCAAGAGGGAGCAATATGAAAGAAATGTTTTTAGCTCCCCTTGCCCCGACTCCTTCACCCAACAGCAGGAACACAATGTTTAATAGGTAAAGTTGATTGAATATGACAATGCATGATTGACATTTAATGGAAATTATCGTGAGTGCTCCAGACCAGGAACAGATTATCTGATAAGTGAGGTAAGCAAGTGTTTAGGGCATCAACAAAACCGGGCACCAGTTGTCTGAAGCAGAGACCCGTATATGCCAAAGAAGACGAGGCACAAAGAAAGGCAAGCACACAGTGGAAAGGAACTGGTAGGGCACAAAATGAAACTGATACCAGCTCCAGTGTGTGAGAATGTGCCAGCCAGAAATAAAGTTCATGCAGGGTCACAAGAGCACCTGAGCTTAAGTTTGTTTGAGCTATGAAGCCCCCACCACTTTGACATCTTCACTGATATATTTCTCCTATGGTTGCCCTCCCATGCAAATGAAATACCATATCATGGCATATCTCTTGGAAATATACAATTTCTTTCTAATAAACAAGAGGCGATGGTGTGCTGTTGAGTTTAACTCTCACTACATTCATCCAATATGCAACTGAATCCAACATGAGTAGTTACTGGGTAAAAATAGATTACAGTAGTAGATAACAGTTCTCTGATCCACTTTGAGAGAACCATCTTATACATCCATGTGCGCTGATCCAGCAACTCCAGACAGGAGGGCCAGCAGTGCCCTTTGCCTTGATATAAATGCAAGAGTATGCTCTTGCACATGTCCCAGTAAATAACCATTGGGAACTCCAATCCCAGATGACATGCAAAACAGAGAGAACTCAAATAACTCGACCATTGCAAGGAATTCAACCAAATTATTTTTAACAATAGCATTTACATACAAAGTTATAGCCTAAGTTTTGTAAACGATAATATTTGTAACTTTAATTTTAAAATATGTTTGGCATATAGACAGATGCAATATAACATACCTGTAATGTAATGTTAATAATTTAATATAATACTAACATAGCAAACATCTATGGGAATAATTTAATATAATACTAACATAGCAAACATCTAAAACTACAGGAAATATTAATATTTACCTAACACAAAAAGTTTTAATTTATGTATCAAGTGAGTTTCATTTTTTATTGTCTGTTGCATGGGACACAGTGCTTGATATTACTTATTTGTTCACTTGTAATTATAGTATTTTTTACCAAACAACCAGCACAATTGAAGCATGATCCATTAAAAGCAAAATTGGTGAAAGTCAATTTTTCCTGGTGGGAGATGAACAGAATTATACATTGACTGTTGAAACAATTAAGTTCACTGATTCATTTTCTTTGTTGTAGAATATGTGGAAAATTCTTTGTGCAGAAAATGTGGTATATAGTAAAAATCTTTGTACCCCACATCCACCAAAAATTTTACAATCCAGGTGATCTCATTCTGCTAAAATAGCATACACCACTTCTGTGTTCAATGACTAGTATTATAGTCACATTTAAAAAGAAGTTACATCATAGATATCTAAGACATAAACACACACATGTGTGTGTGAGTGTGTGTATAACTCACACATCTCAGTCGAATGTGTGAGTAAGCAGAGGAGGAGGCAGCATATATTATCAGTGTTTAGTGTCCTCATGTGCCTTAATCTGGCCCTGCTGCAGACTCATAGTCCTCACACCCATGAATATGTATGAATAAGCAGAGCATATTCTCTTCCTGTGATCTGATCCTACGCAAAGAATATAACTGGGTCGTAGCCTCCAAAACCAAGCCAAACTTCCTGCCATCAACCCACAGCAACCCCTCCTTGAGTTTCCAAGGCATATATCTACAGAAGTAGATCATCCAATCTTCCTTCCAAGGAGTGGCTGGTAGGTTTGAACCACCAGCCTTCTGGTTAGCAGTCAAATGCTTTAGGCACTACATCACCAGAGCTCCCAGGTCATAGCCTAGCACTTGGCTTAGACAGATAGATCTGAAAGTCTATTTGTGTCTGTCACTCTGTTATTTTATTTTTCCTTCTCTCTTGCCCCTGTCTCGATTTTCCTCTTCTCTCTCTCATTCTCTCTCTCCCTGTCCCTTACATGTCTAAGGCAATCCAGGACCTTACATGGCACTTTCTGATGATCTCATTTTGTTATCAAGATGTAAATTTTGGGAAAATTATAAAAGAACCTACAGTATTCTACAATTCAGTTTAAAAATTAAGAGAGTCGGTATTGTACTCTTTTTAAACATTTATTATGGAAAAACTCAAACAAAGGTAATCAGAATAAGATCATGAACCTCCCTGTGCCTATTCCCCAGGTTTAGTAATTACCAGCTCACGGCCAACCTCATTTCAGTGTTGTGTTTTAATTCTCATCTGGGTCCTTGCCTCAATTGTCTAAGAAGTTGAGGAAAAGATTAGTGATTAAATGACATCTTCAACCTTCTACAAGGAGGATTAAATGAGAAAATTTATGTGAAGGTCATCTAGAACATAATACACTCTCATAAAAAAAATTAGCATTAATAATGATAATGAACCACCAGTCTAACTGAAAGTAAGTTTTGATCAGCATAGCTTAGAACAAAATAATGAGGAGCATTGTCCTCATGCAGTTGCATGCTTCATTGTCAAGAGCTTATGATGTGAGGGTAGTAGAAACTCATGGATAAGAAACCAAAAATGCATTTGCACTTCACCCATGGACTTTTCTTTTAAATCATGCCAACCTTCTCCCTGCAAACACTTACCTCCAGCCTGAGTCTTTGGGACACCATGCCTATGTCAATGCTGACAAACACAATTCTATTTGACCCATCAGGTTCTGCTATAATGAAGGCACGGCTGTATAGCCTTGTGAGGATGCCCCGCGCATTCTGGCCAGCTTTGCTATAGCCCATCTAAAGAGGAAGAGAAAATCAGAGCTGTTCTGTCTCATTCATCTGCACAACCATACATAAAGAGCTACTAATGACAAAGAACAATCCATATGCCACTGTGGCTCCAAGTGAGATAATAATATATGTGTTTTCAGTAATGCAGCCAAATCATAAAAGAGGCTTCAATCTTAAGTGTAGAAAAACATAATGTCAACGTATTGATCAAGACGACAGAAGCTATTCACTGGCTTTCTGAGCAATGAGATAGCTGGGGTGGCTCAGTTATTCCGTGATTATAGTGGAAACTTTGTGGGATCTTTCTATTCTGTGAAATAGAATCTTTTCTCTTACCTGTAAAGTATTACAGAAGGGAATATTTTCCCTTCTTTCACCCCACATTGCCCAGAAATGTCCTGAAGACTGAAGGCAACTTCACTTTGGTTGTTTGGTATGTGATTTTTTCCTGAAAAAAAGTGCTGATCCTTGCTGAGAATTCCTCACCCTGGCTTTTGCCATACTGTCCCTCCCTAAGTCAAGTTACCTGTCTCATCATCACCTAAAACCCAGAGTTGCACGCAGGTCTTCAGAATGCTCCCTCTACCACTTTCTTTACCACTCATGTGAGTGATGATTTCAGTTCACATTTCAGAGTCATTTTTAAAAAACAGCAGGGAATAGTTCTTGGAATTTAAAAATTATATGGTAGAAGGGAGAAAATGCCATTGGACAAGCTTTTGCTATGGTTTCCTAGGAAAGGGTTCATATAAATAGGTATTTCTACCCTCAAAACTAAGAAGTAGCATCCTAAAAGGAATAGATCACACCCAACTCATAAAAATGTTTTTATTTGGCTTCCAAAATGTTGGCATACTAGGTTCCAGATTTAACTAGGGTTGTCTATGCTTTTAAATTAAGAGATATAAATCTTCAAATCTTTATAGATTTTTCTGGCTTCTTTTGTAAAAATGGAAAATATGGCAACTCTGAGACCACGTTCTTACATGGCAACAATCAGCTAGGTCACTTCCTAGTGTTATCATAGTCCCCACCACTTGCTACTGTCCTGCAAGCTGAGGATTTACATTATCATCTTACAGTGGTCTGTGTTAGTCATCTATGGTACCTGTCTACTATCTGTAGTAGAGTTTACCAGCTTGTCACTTCCACTTATAAAAAAACAGCCCATAGAAATTACAATGGCATTGTGGATGCATAAAAAGTCTCTCTTCTATATAGTACAGCAGTGAAGTCAATAGAAAAGCTAGAAGATGATGATGATGTAATAATCAGAAATCAATGTGGGATGCAAAATAATAAAATTACTTATTTTGCTGTCTACTTGAGAATCCCGTCCTTTACCTACCAAATTGATATCTGATACTTGTCCTGTGCAGTCAGCTCGCCCAACACCAATACGGTAGCCACTGAAGTTCTGAAGCAGTGGAGGCTCTGAGGTGTAAGTCAGTAGAGAAGCTTGAGTGGTGATGGGGCTGTTGGTGGCTGGAAAATCATGGACTCCTGAATCTAAACAAAGAGTTAGACATTTTTCAAACAATGTTGTTGCTGTTGTTGTTAGGTGCTGTCAAATTGGCTCTGACTCATAGTGACCCTATGTACAACAGAATGAAACACTACCCAGTCCTGTGCCACCCTCACAGTTCTTGAGCCCATTGTTGCAGCCACTCCAGGAATCCGTCTCATAAAGGGTCTTCCCCTTTTTCGCTGACCCTCTACATTACCAGTCCCCATGCTATCCTTCCCAAGGACTGGTCCCTTCTGATAATATGACCAGAGTATTTGAGATGAAGTTTGGGCATTCTCACTTCTGATGAGCATTCCAGCTGCACTTCTTCCAGGACAGATTTGTCTGTTCTTTTGGCAGTCCACGGTATTTTCAGTATTCTTCACCAACACCACAATTAAAAGGCATCAACTCTTCCTCTATCTTCCTTATTCATTGTCCAGCTTTCACACGCATATGAGGCATACTGTGGCTTGGGTTAGATGCACTCTAGTCTTCCTCCAATCTGGATGCTGCATTCTTCTTCATATATTCCAGCTTCTTGGGTTATTTGCTCAGCATAAAGAATGAATAATTATGGTGAAAGGATACAACCCTGACACACACTCTTCCTGATTTTAAACCATCTAATAGGAGCTCTGGTAGCATAGTGGCTAAAGCACTTGACTGCTAACCAGAAGGCTGGCAGTTCAAACCCACCAGCCACTCCTCAGAAGGAAGGTTGGGCAATCCTACTTCCATAGTGATACTGCCTTGGAAACCCAAGGAGGGGTCGCTATGAGTCGAGGCCAACTCGACAGCACATAACAACAATATCCCCTTGTTCTGTTCGAACAACAACATCCTGGTCTATGTCCAGGTTCCTCGTGATGAGCTCAATTAAGTGTTCTGGAATATTCCCATTCTTTGCAATGTTATCCATAATTTGTTATGCTCCACACAGTCAAATGTCTTTGCATAGTCAATAAAACACAGGTAAATATCTTTCTGGTATTCTTTGCTTTCAGCCAAGATCTATCTGACATCATCAATGATATCTCTCATTTCACATCCTCTTCTGAATACAGCTTGAGTTTCTGAAAGTTCCCTGTTAAAATACTGCTGCAATCATTTTTTAATTATCTTCAGCAAAATTTTACTTGTATGTGATATTAATGACATTGTTTTATAATTTCCACATTCTGGTGGATCTCCTTCTTTGAAATGGGCACAAATATGAATCTCTTCCAGTTGGTTGGCCATGTAGCTGTCTTCCAAATTTCTTGGCACAAATCAATGAGCTCTTCCAGTACTGCATCCATTTGTTGAAACATCTCAATGGGTATTCCATCACATCCTCCCAACCAACACAACCCACTGCCATTTAGTCGGATCCAACTCATAGCGACCCCTCTTTGGGTTTCTGAGGCTGTATCACTACAGAAGTAGATTGCCAAACCTTCCTTCCGAGGAGTGGCTGGTGGGTTTGAACAGCCAGCCTTCTGGTTAGCAGTCAAATGACTTAGGCACTATGCCACCAGAACTCCTCATTAAATCCTGGAGCCTTATTTCTCCTCCTTGCCTTCAGTGGAATTTGAACTTCCTCCTTCAATACTATTGGTTCTTGATTATATGCTACCTCCTGAAATGGTTGAATATAGACCAATTCTTTTTGGTATAATGACTCTGTGGGTTCCTTCCATCTTCTTTTGATGTTTCCTACATTGGTCAATGTTTTCCCCCTAGAATCCCTCAATATTGCATCGAGGAGCTTGAATATTTTCTTAAACTATTTCAGCTTGAGAAATGCTGAACGTGTTCTTCCCTTTTGGTTTTCTAACTCCAGGTCTTTGCACATTTAATTATAATATAAATTTGTCTTCTCAAGCTGCCCTTTGAAATTTTCTGTTCAGGTCTTTTATCTCATCATTTTTTCCATTTGTTTCAGAGGCTCTCTGTTCAAGGGCAAGTTTCAGAGTCTCTTCTGATATCCACTTTGGTCTTTGTTTTCTTTCCTGTCTTTTTAATGACCTTTTACTTCCTTCATGTATGATGTCCTTGATGTCATCCCAACAACTCATCTGGTCTTCAGTCACTGGTGTTCAATGCATCAAATCTATTCTTCAGATGGTCTCTATATTCAGGTGGGATATAATCATCATCTTTTAAGTCTCATGGGCTTGTTTTAATTTTCTTCAGTTCAACTTGAACTTACATATGAGTAATTGATGGTCTGTTTGGCAGTCAGCTCCTGGCCTTGATTTGATGGATGATATTGAGCTTCTCTATCACCTCTTTCCACCGATGTAATCAATTTGATTCCTGTGTATTTCATGTGGCAATCTCCATGTGTATAGCTACAGTTTATGTTGCTGAAAAAAGTATTTGTAATGAGCAAGTCATTTGTCTTGCAAAATTCTACCACGTGATCTAAAACATCATTTCTATCACCAAGACCATATTTTCCAACCACCAATGATTCTTCTTTGTTTCCAACTGTCACATTCCAATCACCAGTAATAATCAATACATCTTACTTCATGTTTGGTCTATTTCAGACTGTAGAGAGTAAAAATCTTCAATTTCTTCATCTTTGATTTTAGTGGTTGGTGTGTGAATTTGAATAATAGTATTAGCTCTTCTTCTTTATTGTTGTTATTGTTATGTGCCAGTAATTCGGACCCGACTCATAGCGACCTCTCCTTGGGTTTCCAAGGCAGTATCACTACGGAAGTAGATTGCCCAACCTTCTGCCTGACTTTTTCTTTATAGACATATGGATATTATCTACTGACAGCACTGTACTTCAGGACAGATCTTGAGATTTTCTTTTTGACGATGACCTTCATTCCTCTTCAATTTGTCATTCCCAGCATAGTAGACCATATGATTAACTGATTCAAAATGGCCAATACTGGTCCATTTCAGCTTATTAATGCCCATTAAATTGCTCTTTATGTGTTCCATTTCATTTTTTACAACTTTCAATTTTCCCAGATTCATACTTCATACATTCTATGTTCTGATTATTAATTAATGTTTGAAGCTGTTTCTTCCCATTTTGAGTTGTGCTCTATCAACAAATGGAGGTCCTGAAAGCTTTTCCATTCATGTCATTAAGGTTGACTCAACTTTCAGAAGGCAGCTCTTCCCCAATTGCATTTTGAGTGTCTTCCAACCTCAAGGACTTATCTTCTAGCACTATATCAGACAAGGTTTCACTGCTATTCATAAGGTTTTCATTGGCCAACTTTTTCAGAAGTAGATGATGCTGTCCTTCTTCCCAGTCTGTTTGTACAGAAGCTCCACTGAAACTTGTCCACCATTGGTGATCCTGCTGGTATCGAAATACCAGTGGCATAGCTTCCAGCTTCACAGCAACAATAAGCCACTACAGAATGACAAACTGACAGATGTGAAAACACAGTATTTCAGCCCATTTAATTAGTGGTGTTGGCTGAGTGATTAGACCACATGAGTTTAGGTTCCTAAGGAATAATCTTTGCATATTATCTCTTATTTATCAGCCACTCTTCAGAAGGAAGGTTGGACAATCTACTTCCAAAGTGATACTACCTCAGAAACCCAAGGAGGGATCGCTATGAGTTGGGTCCAACTCAACAGCACATAACAACAACAACAACATTTAAAATATAGGGTGAGAAGCATCTTCAGGAATCCATTTTATATCATATTCTTAAGCAGGATCTTTCTTGGAGTGACAGTAAGATATCTTTCAATTTCTCACTACAAACCATTTCCTGTCAAACTCATCCCCCTTTACTCACTTACCCTGCTCTTTTGTTCTCAGCCAAACAACTTAAGTGCCAGGTCCTTGGCACACAACCTACCAAACCCAGCCTCTGGGGATTGGTTTCTATCATTTTCTCCATCTGGAGACTTCACTCCTTTCCTTTTCACCAGCTCCTCATGCTTGTTCCATTTCCATCACATCTAGATCCAGTTCAACCTCACATATTTAAGAAGACAGCTCTCCCTTCCCTGTGCTGATCCTCTTCCATCTTCTGTAGACTTTCATTCTTCATGTGTCTGAAGTCATTTCACACTTGTTGATATAGTTCCCCCTTACTTTAATTATTCCATATTAATGTATATGTATATATACTATGGAGTCCATGGGTGGTACAAATGGTTAACATTCTCAGTTGCTCACTAAGATGTTGGAAGTTCAAGTGCATCCAGAGGTGCTGCAGAAGACAAGTCTAGCAAAGTACTTCTTAAAATCAGCCTTCAAAAACCCTGCGGAGCACAGTTCTACACACAGGCCATTACCATGAGTCAGAGTTGACATCAACTAGTTTTTCATATACATATTGATAATACACACACTCACACACACACACACACATGAATATCTGGGGAGGCAGATGGGCATAGAGATTAGGAGTGCAGTGCTGGAAAACAAGCCTGGGTTTGAAACCTGACTCTACCACTTAGTGGCTGAACAAATTAACCTATTTTACCTCAATTTTTTCACCTATAAATTCAAGATAATAATATCGTACTACTTTTTAGGGTTGTTATGAATACTAAATATGTTAATATATATTAATAATTTAGAACAATCACTAATGCACAGCTATGGTTTTATTTACATGTTTAGACCTTTTCTTTGCTTTCTTCTTTATTTGTTTCTCCTAGAAAAACATCCAAAGGTGGCCAAGGTGACAAGTGTCAATGTCACAATCATTAGTGTTTAGAAAGTATTTAGGCAAGAGATTAAGAGCTGACTCTTTCTTTCTGGAATACTAGAATTTTGGAGCTCTAGAAAATTTAGAGATCACCTAGTCCAACCTTTCCCATTTTACAAATGAGACAACTAAAGCCCAGAGAAGTGACTTCACTGAGATTTCGGGGAGAACATGTGATGAATCAGATGCCAACCTACATTCTCAGACTCTGAATCTGATATGCTTTTGACCACATCCTAGATGGGAGTTAGAGTCCAAGTCTCCTCACTCTCAAGCCCATGTTTTCTACACAACACTAAGTTTGCAGGGAAGAAAGCAGACACTTTTGCTTTTGCCTCATTGGTACAAAGGTAAGAAATGGTGCCAAAGAAAGATAAATCAAGTCACATAGCCAAAGTCAAGTTCCTTGCAATCTCATTTTCCAGATGTAAAATGGCACTAAGACTAGCACAGTGGTAGTACTATGCTACTATAACTGCTACTATAAGAATAGTTACTATGTTGTTGTTGTTGTTGTTGTTGTTATGTGTCGTCGAGTCAGACCCAAATCATAGTGACCCCTCCTTGGGTTTCCAAGACAGTATCACTACGGAAGTAAGTTGCCCCATCTTCCTTCCGAGGAGTGGCTGGAGGTTCAAACCTAGGCACTGTGCTACCAGAGCTCCTAAGAATAGTTACTATAGGTATTAATAAACTTCCTGAGGCTTAGCCTCCTAATTCTCTATTAAAGATGTTAAATTAATAAGTCCTAAGGATCCTTTCACTCCTAGCATTCCAAGACCCTCCTCTCTCTACAGTTGGAAGAGAGAACTTCAATTTTTCTCTGAGTGCAGGGAATTCAAAGCACAGAGACATAGTAGAGAGTACAATGGAAAAGACAAGAGACCACAAAAGGGAAACAGAGGTTAAAAAAAAAAAAATGCTGTCTCCTGCTCCATTTGGCCTAAGGCTAGCCCTCCCTTTGTTATGATCAAAGCCTCCAATCCCCACCCATCTTCTTTACTTATTTTCCAGATATATAAATTAGCACTGAGGTCAAGTTTCCATCAAAGACCTTTGGGCTCAATATTCTTGCAAATGTGACTTACAATTTTCAAAACCAAAATTCATTCTCAACATTTAAAAAAATAATCAGAAGATGTCTAAAAGCCCCAATTCCAGCTTCTTTTGAAAATTCAGGACATCTGAAATGTGTGACAACAAACGGCTGATGCTAGAGAGGGACAGTGGGTCCCGTTTCACCAGAACCCACTATCTTTCCTCTGTGCTGCCTACACTCCACCTTATCTACAGAACTTGATTGGTCCTCAGAAGGATTTGATTTTGAGACTCCTTCACTAAAACTTTCCATGGACTATTTGCCATTCAGTGTGCCCTTCACTCTCCTTTTGCCCTCAGGAGAAGGTGATGTCTGCCAAGGAAGAGGTAAAGAGAAGCAAAAGAACCTTGTGACAATGATAGCTCATGTTACTGGGCCTTGAAGAATTCTCAGCTATATTTCAATAAGCAGAAAACACAAAAGCAAAAAAGTGCTTGTCAGAAAGCCTTTCAACCAGCTATTTGGAGACAAAGGTAAGCTTGGTTAAAAACTGCTATCAATGCAGAAAGGGCAATTAATGTAGAAGGAGATGGCCATTCTAGGTCACTTCAGTACACACTGAACTGTCTAGTTATTAGCACCATCAACAGACACTGTTCTTTGTCTTGGTGTCGCCAAAAATCAAGATACTTCCCAAGAGCCTAAAAATAGTATCCAAGAGAGCCCATGACACTTGCCTTTGTGGTTTTCAATGGTCCCACTGGTGATAAACAGTAGACTAAGAAGGGCCACCGTGATCGCAGTCATCATTACAAGGAGGAAAATTAGGAACGACTCCAATGTGGAGAAGGTGCGCTTGGCCATTTCTTCTGTAATGAAGCAGGCATTGGAGAAGAAGTAATTATAGATTCACCAATTAAAATTTACATTCTTCAAGCTTCCCAAGATTAAGATGTCTTAGCTCTTTCATATTAATAGACTGTATCAAGGATGGTAAGTACAGAGCATACTTGCAACTAGCTTTATACCCCAAGCCCATGGCAGACAAGACCAATCAATTATAGCACTCTTTCTTAATAAGCTCAGGTATAGTATCTGAATCCTTCAACACAGAGCTACTCCTGGAAGTGATCACCTATCATTTGGCATTGGTAATTGAGTTAAAATCTATTTGCATCCCTATATCATACTGTTTTTATTTATGACAATGATGTTGTGTAGGTGCCACTGTATATGGGACTGGGCAGGGAGAACTTCTGTCAAAAGGGATGACTGATAACCCACACTGCTTGTACTTGAGAGATGGGTAGATGGAGTTAGTGCTGTGCTCTGTGGTCGTGGACTAAGTAAAATTAACTTGTCCACATGGTGATGAAACTCATCATGTTGGCCTTTAAACTCTATGTTCTAACTTTCAACAACTACCTCATGTGAAAGTGGCATGGACATGGGGATTGGCATCTCTGGTCTCAAGCCAGGCATTAGTTAAATTTCCCTCTTCAGTGATCAGAAGGATCCCACATATCAAAAATCTTATATCAAAGGATGGGAATAAAGAATTTTCCTATGGTTTACAGAAAATATCCTTACAGATTCCTTAAGATATTTTAGGAGGAGAATCCATCAATACCCAGAGAAAATATAGATGCTAAATGCTTGTATAATGCAGCAGGAGGAAGTATAAAATAGTGGATAGAAATTGGGTTCTGCCCACAACTGTGGTTTCCAGCCAAACAAAGTACAGGCATGTGAGTTAAACATTTACCTCAAGTAGACACACGCCCTGGAGAGAACAATCATGGGAGAAGGAAGGGCTGCTTATGCACAGGGAGATAGCTCAGGGTGCAGAAGAGTATGAAGGGATGGACACTGGGAGGAGGTACCTATGGGGAGGAAGTGGGAGGGGAGCTGCTGCATTGTAAATTTTGGTCAATGACATGAGACAAAGTATATGTGAACTGCTGTATGAAAAGTGAATTTACTCTGTAAATCTTCACCCAAATCCTAATAAAAAAAAAAAAGAAAGAAAGCTCAACAAGCTGATTAATATGCCTTAGATGCTTGAGATCTTTTGTAGACAGAATTCTTGTATGTTAGGGAAATGTTTAGTATAGGGAACTGACTTTAAGCAGAGGGAAAAATTCTTTCCTTTCGATAATGCTCCCCAACTTCTGTTTTTTCTCCTTCCAAAAACTTGAAAACATAAAACTTGATTAAGAAAACCCAATTTGGAAATTGCAAAATGAGCGCAGAAAGGGAAATCTCTATTTCAAATGGAATTAATTCTTGGCATCAGAGACACCACAGAGGGAACCAATTTTAATCAGTGTCTCACGATGAGCCAGCTCAAGAGTGGTATTAAACGTTAGCAGACTAAACAACAAGAAAATAGTCTGTTCTGAAAAATGTGTGCATGTAAGTGTTTTTAAAGACCAACTGGGCAACTGGGCTATCATCATGTGCATTTAACCATAACCCAGCAGATATTTCCATTGCCCTTCGTGCTTGAATAGCGGAAGAGACAGGGAGGAGTGACACTCCATGAGGCCTCCACCCTCCTCTCCTCCTTAGCACACATTGATTGACAGTCCCTTACATCTCATTTCCTTCCATTTGGTTTATAAATACAAGGTGACTGTTGTTTGGGCTACATGAGTGAGTATGTTTATTTGGTAGAGTTGATGAGCCTTGACCCCATAAAAACTATATTGGAGTGATACAAACACACTCATTTTCAAATCCAGTAATTTTACAGACAATTAAAGGACTCTTTAGAGAAATCATTATGCATTTTATCAAGCTTAAAAATTCAGTGTATTAGTATGAATCTCTCCCTTTTGTTATTGTTGTTCTTGTTTTAAGTTTTCCTCTAATGAGAATGGCCCACCAGCCAAAGGATGCATTTGTAAAGCAAATATTATAGTCTGATACTCTATGGTGTTTTCATTACATGATTTGTTTAGATAGCTTTCCTTCCTCCCTAGTGTAGCATTTTGATAATTAGCTGCTTGCTTTCTGATATTTAGATTCTAGTTCTCTCTTTAAATCTAGCTAGAAGGAAATTTAAGTTGAAATGATAAATATCGCATTTCACATACAATAATTAAATTGCCTTTAAATAAAAAAAAAAAGAAAAAGAAATTGGGTTCTGAAGGCTGACTCCAGAGTTCAAATCTCATTTCTGCCACTTATTGGGTGATCTTTAGAAATCCTCCCCTGACACTGAGTTTCAGTTTTCCCATCAGTAAACAGGAAAGCAACTATCATAATTTTGGTGCCTATCTCTCGTGTTTCTATAAAAATAAGATGATATGGCGCCACTAAAATACTTTATTTGTTTCACAAAATATAGTAAGTGATACAAAATGTTAGCATTTACCATTAGACACCAAAATAGCCAACTCTGTCCTCCTCCCTGTTCTTAAAAGGATATGACCCAAACAAAACAGAACAAAAACTTACCACCATCTAGTCAATATCAAGTCATGTGACCCTCATTGGTTCCAAGGCAGTAAATGTTTATAGAAGTAGATCACTCCATCTTCCTTCCACGGAGTAGCTGGTAGGTTTGAACCACTGTTAGCAGTTAAATACCTTAGGCACTATGCCACCAGAGCTCCTTACAAAGGGGTAAAAGCTAGTATTAAAGCTTTGTGGAATCAGAGATGGAAGTTGAGGACCCCATTTTTTAAGCCCATGTTTTAGAAATTCTAAATTGTGAAATGGGATTGGAATCCCAGGACTTCCCCCAAATGGGTAACATGTGGCTAATATGCCGCTTGGCTGCCAATAGATGTGTATGGCTCAGATAATTTTTTTATTTGAAATCAACTTAGTTAACAAGATAAAATATAGATTTTACATACAGATCTGGAACTTCAAATTTTCTCTTAAAATTTTTCATAAAATATGGCAACATTGAGCCAGAATTTCCGTGTGCCAAGAAATTCCTAAAACTCAGTAGCTGCTCTTCCCTTTAGGTGGCATGTGCATTATCCAATTTGCTATTGTTCCTATCCAGCGAGCATTATTCATATAAGCATTATTCATCTTTGTAGTCATTTGATGTTACAATCTCTGGGCCAGAGTTTAAAGATCAGTCTAACAACAGACACTTTAGAGGTAGGGCTGATCTTGGAGTAGACAAGGAGACTGAGATATCGTCCCAAAGCTTCTGATTATTGGGAGGATTTCCTCATCCATTTATAACAACCATGATTACCTTCATCACCAATAGCTGGGACAACTTCAAATCTAGAGCTAAACAAATTGGTCCCAACTTCCTCCCACCCACTGCTGTCCAGTAGGATCCGACTCTTCTTTGGGTTTCCAAGGCAGTATCATACGGGCGTTTGACTGCTAACCAGAAGGCTGGTGGTTCAAACCCACCAGCCACTCCAAGGAAGGAAGGTTGGGAAATCTACTTCCATAGTGATACCACCTCGGAAACCCAAGGAGAGGTCACTATGAGACAGGTCCAATTCTACAGCACATAACAACAACAACAATGACATCACCACAGAAAAGAAACCCAGTCTGATTAATTACCATCTACTATGTCTTATCCCACAAAAGGAAGATGAAACCATCTACTTCCATAAAGAGTGACAGCTTTGGAAACCCAAGGGGATCACTGAGTTGGAATCAATTGGATGACAGTGAGTACCATGTCTTTTCACTGGTCCCTATCCCTCTCTTCTAGTACAATCCAGAGGAAAATTTTTTATGAACTATTTTGTAAATGCAAGGTTTTTAGTAGCTCTACAAACATTTTCAAGAAGGAGGAAATCCCACTTCATTCCATTTTCTAAATGTAAATAATTTTTTTTAAGAAGTGAAATCAGGAGGAGTTCC